TCCTCCTCTGTCTTTGCACCGTGGAAGGAGGTTACAGTCCCACCTGCAGTCTTCTGCTGCTACCATAATGTATTTGCTACAACAAAGTAATAGATGTCCTGTTTGTTTAAATCACTCTAAAGCTACCAATAAGGAAACAAGAGGAGCAAAAGCACCTTGGGATGAATATGTTATGTGAGTGAATGTCAGATGAGGGACTGAAAGAAGAGAATGATTCAATGAGCAGGCTCCATGTGTAGCAGAGTTATTGACTAGAATACAAAAAAAAAAAAAAAAAAAAAAAACACCACCAACAACAAAAAAAGATGAGCAGGTTTATAGCATTAGAAGGAGTGATTTTACCTCTGTGTTAATAACTATTTTACATGTCATCCTGGTTTGCACCGAACATCTGATTCACATGCAGGAAGGGTGTTGGAACCTGTGAACAAGAAGACCACAGAATCTAAATTGACTTATGCTGAATAAATCACAATTAATTTTGCTCCTAACAATGAAGTTACCGGTGAGAGAAAACATATCTTACCACGAATATAATGAACAATGATGAGGCTTACAGTATGCCAAGAATGCAAATCTTCTCTGCAGTCAACTGGCAGATGGACAGTGTCCCCAAAATAGAAAGAATTAGGCAAGGACAGTGATGTAGGCTTGTAAGAGGTGAGCTTTCACCTCTTTCTAKGGGCTTATATGCCATAAGCTCATAGATAAAGAGAGAGAAATAAAAATATTGGCAGATGCAGATGAAGAGAGAATCTACAAGCTGCTGTGGTTTTAGTTTCAGGCACATACTATGAAGCACAGCATGGATCCCCTCACACAACTAGGACATGTTTTGGAAAGAGCCCGGGATCTCTCACCTATCATGGAGTGAGTCACAGGAATAACGTCTGTTAACACCTTATCAAGAACTGTACTTCCAACTGTGGAGGAACAGTGGGAAACTGCATACCAGCAATGACCCCTAAAGAGAAAACCCACCCTTGCACTCTTGCTTTTAATGCTAATAGCACATAAGCAGTCAAACCACAGCACAGACTATATTTTCTCCAGTATTAACTACTGTGCTGTCCACCACAAAGTCATTTGTCASCAGGATACTTCAGGCACTGGTGTAACAGCTGCAAAAACATAATTAGTCCCTCCATCTCTGTCCCACTGGGCAGCAGCCACTGCTTCGGTGGTCTCTTTGGGTATGTTTTTGTCCTCTGCTGGCCAGAGGTCAAGTCTTCCAGAAGCTACTTGCCTGTATAAATTACAGTGCACATATTTTACATCTCATTGTAATGCTTTCTTCTGCCAGCATCCACTTCTTTGCAAATGTTCCATTTCCAAGCCATTTTTGTGCAAGCCCCAGGAGAAGCCATCAGACAGGCATGCGGAAAATTTATCCATAGGCATCATTAAGAGCCATTTGGCTCATGAAGACATATAGTTTATATAAACTGCAATTTGGAATGCCTCACTGCTCAAACAGCTAGTCCCACAAGATCTGCACTGAAAAACAGGACYGGGCACATACCTGAATGTCCAGCACAAGAAATCATGGACTGCGCCCAACTATTTTGGTAAAGGAAGAAAATCTCAAGCCTTTGTATTTGAATAACTTTCAATGTTTGCATCAAAATTGCATAGCTGGCGGCTCTGAGAGAGGAACTGGGTTGTAAGAACCAAACAAAGGCACAACAGGCTTGGCTGGATTCACAATGCGGGCATCACATTGGGACTCCAAGATGTCTCTTTAGAGACAGCAACTGAATGACTGAAAAAGCAGGAAGATGATGAGGCTTCCACACTGCGATAGCCTGGAAGAAACCTCAGTGGAAATTAACACCCCATGTTAATTCTTTTATTGTCCTTTTCTTTCAAGAGTCACAGTTATGGTGAGAATAGAGACTGCTGGAAATAATAGTCCACCATACAAAACATGGGGAAAGATATTTCAACAATCTTCCTGCCAGAAAACAAGAAAGAAGAAACTAGTTCTCTGGTGCTTGGGAAAAAAAAAAAAAAAAACATGTAGTGGGACAGGGGCAACATTTTCTGAGATGGAGATCAAAAAGAGAAACTCAGAGAAGTAGAGAACTCATGATGTAACCTGCCTGTCAGGAGCAAGCTATGAGGCTGCAAGACACACTGCAGAAGTAGAATAAAACACTTGGAGCTACATCATGCTTCAAGCCCCACAAATCACAAATGTACCTCGCACTATCACTCTCTGCCTAGACTACCATCTGACAGAGCTTGCAGAGTTCACCACTTTTCCATAGTGCAACACAGGTCCYAACAGCACCTACACTAGGAGTGGTGGTGAACAGGCCACTGAATTTCCAGCCTTTTAGCAATTGTTTTGCTTTGCCAGCCAGTGTGCATGTAGAGCCTCACATGGAGGCCTTCCAGACGAAAGCACTTGGCCCAAAGGGAAGTGACAGTAAATATTAAAGTTGGTGCTGCTTAATAGTACATTTTGAAGCCCAGCAGCCATCACACATTATCCTGCACCTCAGTGCCTGTGCAGAAGGTGCCAGTAACACATCAAATATGGGCAAACTTGCCCACAGAGGCACTTTGTGAACCATGAAGAAGAAGAGGAAGAAGGATGAGATCAGGGAGGCTGAACACCTCCCAGCTGCTCCTCCTGCTATCCTTCAACCACGAGTGGTGCCAACACGCTGCGCAATTGTTACACAATGGTAAAGCTGCCCTAATTCTGCTCATTGACCAACTTCTCTCCATCAAGAAAACAGCTCCACCTTCTGAGCCAAAGGTAGCTACTTTTTCAAAAGCAGATGCTTTTTACTCTGAAGCCTTGTGCTTTCATCTAATCTAATTATTCTACCCCACCTAATACTACAGTAGATGATCTTGCTCCTTTCTAAACAGCTGCCTTCATAGAAATATCTGGTTGGAAGAAAGAACAGGTATTTCTGTGAAGTCTCTCCTCCCCAACTGCAGTTTAAATTATTCTCTTGTCCTCTAAATGTCATCTTTACAGAATTTAACTCCACTCAGCTTTCGTGTGTGTGTGTTGGCCACATACTAAAAAAGTTACGTGCCATGCTGTTATCACAGCTTGGGAACAGCCAAACAGTGCCTTGTGGCTTTATTGCTGGCAAAGGATTCCACAAAGCCCCATTATTTCTCCTTGAATCACACGTAAGCAGCACATGGGACACGAGTGAGAATGAAAGTCCCTTCCCAGATACCACATTTCCCCTAAGCCCATCTTTCACCCTCAGATCATTATCAAAGCACTGCTGCTAAGCAATGGAGTGAGGAGACCTGCATGTTTTCTCTTCTTCCAAAAGAAGAGGAAAAATAAATAAGTAAAAAAGATGACACAGGAATTCTACCAGCTCATTTATTTTCTAAATGGAGTGATCCATTTTGCTTTGTGAGCAGAGCAACAAACTTTCAGAAAATCATTTAAAAAAAGGCAACGATTATACTTTTTATCCCACTCCTGAGCATTTTTGCTTTCCTGGCAGAACATGGCCATCCAGGCTTCCAAGATGCTCATGGTACATGAGGGAGAGCCTCTTAAAATGCTATAAAGGCATAAGCCATTATTATCGTGAAAATCATAGTTACTGAACTAGTTTCTTTTGAAATTCCCAATTTCAAATTTGCGTTTGACTGGGCTAGAATATGAGGTGTGAACATATGCTATTTGTTAGGGTCTTGATAGCTTCCCGTACAGGAAGAGAAACGGCAGAGATCTGATCCTGTGCAGCAGTTGGCAAGGGCTGCAGCATCCTAAGACACGGCTTGAAGCGGCGCCACAGCAGCCGAAGCGGATGGGAAAGCCGGGCGGCCCGGCCTGGACGCCATCCAGGCGAGAGCACTTGGCCCACAGGGAAGGCAGACAAAGGCTGTCTGACGGGGTGCTTTCGAGAAGCCAAATGTATGTTCATCTTTTTCCGATCCAAGCAAGGAAATACTCCTCTTCTCCAAGTAAGGGGTCCCTAATCCTTTGTCTCGGAGTGAAAAGTCAGATTTAGGCAGTTCTGCAGACTGGCAGCACAGCCCCCGAGGCCTCCCAAACTCATCCAGAGCRGCCCCTGCTCACAGACCCGGCTCTGCCTGCGCTTCGCGGCGGCCACAGGCTCCGGATCCGGCGGCACGCACACGGCGGAGGCGGCACGCACACCGCGGAGCCTGTGCCCGGCTGCCGGGAACCGCGGGCGGCCTGGCCTGCCCGTCACCCCGCAGCTGCAGCTGCCCTCCAACGCGGGGCAGCCCGTCAGGCACAACAGAGCTCTCGGGCACGCAACCGAGGGAAGAAAACATCATCCTTCGTGCTAAGCTCAGCGGGCTGGAGCAGCATCATTTCCCTAGCGCTCCAAAACCTGGGAACTGAACCCTCCTGGAAGCCCCTAGAGCTTTTCCAGGGGCTGCTTTTCCCAAGCAGTGTCTGGCCAGACACGGTGGGATTTTCTTTTGCGTCTGAATATATCCCCCTCTTATTTTTATGAGCATTTTTTTTTCTCCATCAAAGAAACTTCTTTTGCCTTTCCCATGTAGGGTATTTGTTAAAATACTTTGTAATTATTTACATGGTGCCTTGTGTATTTTGGAGAATTCAATCTGGCAGCAAAAAGCTCCAATTTGGAGCAGGGGAGTCGGGGGGCATTTCCCCTCATTAACCTGTTGCGGGGAGGGAGCTTCTTCCTTTCCCAGGGCCATTTCTCGCCCCAACTTTCTGTTTTTCTTTAACACGCGACAGGGGAGGGAGCCCGAGACTCCCCCCACTCCCGCGGGCCCCTCCCCACCGACCCCGCCCGCGCGGGAGCGGCCGTTGCCTCGACGTCACTTCCTGCGCGGCTCCGCCAGGCGCTTCCGCCCGCGCGTTTCCCGGGCGACGCGGCGCCCCCGGCCCTGCGGGAGCCGGAGCAGCGGGGGGGGGGGGTCCCGGAGCGGGAGGGGGTCCCGGTGCACGGGGGGGGTCCCGGTGCAGGGTCCTCATGGCCGGAGCGGCCCCGGCCGGGCACCGGTAACCGCCGCGCCCGCCGGAGATGTCGACGCCTCCCCTGGCCGGGGCCGCGATGCCGCCCGGCGCCTTCTCCGGCACGCAGGCCCAGGCGGCCAGGGAGGTCAACACGGCCTCGCTCTGCCGAATCGGCCAGGAGACCGTGCAGGACATCGTGTTCCGAACCATGGAGATCTTCCAGCTGCTCAGGAACATGCAGGTGAGGCGCCGCTTTCCCCTTTTTGAGGCCCACAGTTCTCTTCCCGACTTCTTGGCTATCACCTGCCATAAGTATGTGCATACACACACACGCATGCACACAGGTTCATACGTATGCATAAACATATATAGTGTGTATTTACATATATGGATACTTGGAGGTAGTTTAGGGCATTTGAACACCTAGATTGATGATGCTGCTTTGGGGRAGGCAGGCTGAGTGCTGCAGTGCTTGTATAACTCTTAATGCAGCTGGTTCCTCCTGCATTTTAGGTTAGCAGTGAGAAACTGGGGAAGGACTGAAGTGTTCATCACTGTCCACAATTATTATACTTTTAAGAGCTTTTAAATGGTGCATTTTCATTTAAAAATAAGTGTGTTCATGCACTGTTTATGCTTCTGTGTGCCTTCCTGCAGGAAATAGTTTAGAAGTGCTTTCATAAATATTTTTCTGCAATAATATTTTACACTAAAATCCTGTGGGATAATTTGTGTTACCAGAGTGGAAATACTCTTTATCTGGGGCTTCCTGCTTGCCTGAGGAAAGCTTGCAACTGTGCATCACTACTCTGCTGAGAGCAAAAGTGTCCTCAGCTTGGAAATAACATGGAAACAATAACATAGAAATAATCTCCATTGTTCACTATATAGTTTTCTTCTTCTGCAGAGTTCCTACTGTGACTATTTTAGGTACAGATGCATGTATTTAAAGTTTTACTAAGTTGCTTTTATTTTGAGTTTGAATTGTGACCTGGGGATTGGGACATACAATGCTGGTAAGAGTTTTTAGAGCATGTTGGAGACATTAACTGGAAGTTACAGGGAGACTGGCAATGGGTAAAATGTAAAATGCACGAGGATGTCTGACAGCAGCGATTTGACACATCAGAAGAGCAGGTAGGACTGAGGCTTATGGATAAAGAGAATATCGGAGAACGTCAGTGACTTTTGTGGAGAAACACAGAAAATCAGAAAATCTGATTATCTTATTTTCCAGTGTACAAATAACCTGATTGATTTWAGTTTATTTAGTGACTGTGAAATAAACTTTAATTCTTCTAACATTTTTGGCTTCTGGTTTTCTCAGTTACCAAATGGTGTCACTTACCATACTGGGACGTACCAGGACAGACTGGGAAAGCTGCAGGAGCATCTCCGTCAGCTGTCAATACTCTTCAGAAAACTGAGATTAGTCTATGACAAATGCAATGAAAACTGTGCAGGACTCGATCCAGTTCCCATAGAAGTAAGTAYCTCTATCTTAAATATAAATTACAAATCAGAAGTGCCACTCTGTTAAACATATCACTCATTCTTTTCAGCTACACCAGGGAGTCATCATAAACGTTATAAATGAGGAATCCTTCAATGAATTGACTTCTATTTATTATTTAGAACTGATTGGAAGATTGTGAAACTTTCACACTGCCAACAGCTTTTAATTGGGAGAGATTGTATTTTGAAATCATTTGAAATCTTGAGGCTTCACCTCAAGATTTTAGATTCTGGGCCTCTGTAGTTCCTTCTGCTAGTTCTCCTGTAGTTGCTGTTAACTGCTCTGCCAATGTGAACCAAATATGAATGTGCAGTGGCGGTCAAGAGGTAACACTTCCAGGAAGCAGGAATGGCTAAATGTTTCTCAGATAAAAATGCTGTTTCTAATAAAATMGGAACTTCATTTTCCTCCCCGTATGCCTTAAATTATTTTTTAACTCTTAATGATACTCTTAAAACCTATTTAGGTTATGGTCTGAGAATTATCATCTCGTTTCTTCCATGTCTGTGATCACCAGGACTGTGAAGTTTTCTTATTACTGACCTCTGGATTCAGAGGCCACTCTATTAATAAGCTTCTAGTTTTTGATTGAATTTTTATTATTTAAACATAATGTTTTATATTTGAGTCTTATCGTTAGATAGCAATAAAGAAATTAAGAAGTAGCCAGACACTCGTATCTAGTCTAGTAATCTACTTTTGTCAGCAGTCTCTGCCATGTGTTTCAAGGAAAGGTATTGAGAAACCTTTCGGCAAGCAAGAGACTAACACAACTCTCCCATTAAGAGTATTGTTTCTATGATTTGTTAAAGTTGGCTTGTGTGCAAAAGTCCAATACTTATATCCTCTTGAAATGCTTTTGATGTATCTTTTTGTATCTTTTTGTATCTTCTTTACATGTGCGATTGGGATGAGGAACTGGTTTTTTTTTTTTTTTTTTTTTTTTTTTTTTTCCCCCTCCTGCTATCAGAGACGATGACTGGTTCCATTAAACTTTCCTAAACCAAGGCCTTCCTTATCATTTATGCACAGCTGAGTTTTCTGTCAACACATGATTTTTTAAAAATTATTTTCATCAACTTAGTCTTTGCTGCTCTGAAGTTAGCAGAATGCTGCTTCTTCATATTTTATGAGTTGGGGAGAATGAAGTGTCACATAATTTCTCTTGATCAGTTTTCTTGAACTGTTGTTTCATCTTTTCAAGGACAGTCTCAATCATATTATTTAATGACTGACATTCTGACTATATCTTTAAAGGAGGTCAGCAAATCTCTTTTTAAACAGTCAAATTCTGTAATGTTTTTTCTTTCCACATAATTGATTCCTATCTGTCTAGCAGGATAGATGTATGATGCTCTGCCCTTCTTTTTTTTTTCTTAAGACTCCTTTTGAGATTTCATTGAACAAGAGGCAATTATTCAATGACTAATTGTTTGATCCTTTAGCAATTGCTGTCTGGCAATACTTAGATGGAATGTCACCCTCACTCATCATTTTGTCTTGTAATTTTGTACTTTCTGCTTGCTTCTGTGGCTCTTCAAGGGCCTACTCCATTTTCTTAATTCCTTTTTTTAAGGAAGGATACATATGTTAATAGTCATTGAGAAGTCCTTTATCAAATATTTTGACTTCAGAGACGCTTGCATGCATTACGTGCTTGAGGAGATCACAGTGGAAGATCCTTATAGAAAAATTCTTATTAGACAACTGTGGATATGGTCTTAAGAACAGCCAAACAGAGACTCGCACAAATTGCAAGCCATAATTAGGGTATTAGTCAAGTAGTGGGTTTCTATTTAAATTCAACTGTAAATGATACTTAGTATATCACTAAAATATTATAATCTTTATAATTAGAAATACTGTCATTATGATCTTTATAATAACAATAACTTCATGTGTGTAAAATTTCAAAAATTGGACTGAAAAAACCCACATTGGATTTGTTTGTCAACAATCCAATGCAAGATGCTCTCACTGGTGTCCAAGATGCTCTCACTGGTGTCAATCTTATCCTGCCTTGACTGCTCCTTTGCACCATCTAAGGTGCTGCTTCCTGTTTGCTGGCCCAAATGTCTGCATAACCACACTTGGGATCACTTCACTTGATTAACCTGTTTCATGCTACAGTTAAATGGAAATCATGCTGCGAAAAGAGACTGCAGTGCTGGCATATGTTGGCTTAAAGTTTTGCACATGCTGTCCATGGCAACCAGATCTCTTCAACTCTGTCGAGTATATTTGCATAAGAATAAATTGATCTGGGGACATGTTGCATGAAAAACACAATTTGGGATACGTAACATACATTTTTAAAAGGCAGGTCTGTACATCAGTTAACGTTGTATCATATAGATCTTTTACTACAAAGAAGATCATACATTAATTTCCTTTCTAGCTTAGAACCAAGACTGTGGGTTAAAGTAAGACACTTAAAGGTGCTTTATCTATTGCTGTCTTCAGACAAGAGAGAAATTTGTAGAGTATCTTTGTCTCCATATAGGAAGTTAATTTTATCTCACAAATTCCAAAGTGGACTTCTCCTTTAATAAACTCTTAGGATCTGGGTTCTAACCAAGGGTTAGAGTTTTTTATGTTTAGCTAGTAGCTGGAATGGTGTTGAAGGTGACTGTAGGTACAGAGTACAGAGTATTCAGAGTACAGTTAACTAGGAAAAAAAAAGACTTTGTATTTTGGTGAGATATTGTTTGTTTTGTTTTTTTTTTCTTTTTAAGTGTTATCTGATGTTGAGTGTGATTTCAGAGTAGAAAGTAGGATCTTTACTGCAGAGAAGTCTTAACAGTGTTATCGTGCTCAAAGCTGCTATTTTCAAAATTCTAGTCACGACGGCTGCTGATGTGAAACAGTAAATTGTGAAGGCAGGAGAAGCTCCTGTGTTAGTCATTAGAGAGGAGCCTTGTTAATATGCAGCAGGTTATTGATCGAAAAGAAAAACTCAGCCTCTGGTTGCCTGTCAGCTGGTGACAGCAATTTTTCCTGTTAATGAAATCCTTAATCTACTGTGTTCAGGAATACATGAATCACTTGCTTATCAGAAATCTTTAAATGTTAAGACTGGGTTTTGCCAATGGTTGTGAAATTGGTCTGGCCTAGGGGGGAATTGCCCCTGTATGGGGAGCTGCATCTTTCTGAAGCACAGGCTTTTCATGGAAAACAGGCAGAGACCATTGCAAGGCCTTTGGTTCCAGGGTGATGCAGTGACCTATTTTCCACATTTTTCATCTTGGGMAGTTTGAACCTCTGGAGAAGATGGTAGTGCCTTCTGTATCTCCTGGTTTCAGCTTTTGTTTTGTTTTAAGTGAGTGTTTGTTGTCCTCACAGCAACTTATTCCATATGTTGAAGAAGATGGATCCAAGCATGATGATCGTGGTGCTGCCAGTCAGCTTCGTTTTGCTACCGAGGAAAGAAGGGAAATYTTGGAAGTAAATAAGGTAAGGGAGGTGGGATTGATTTGCACAAAACAGAAGATGTCACTCTATAATTGCAAAGCTTGCATTGCTAAATGCAGTATGTGTGATAAAAATGTATTGCATGGGACTATTTTGGAATTAGCTTCTAGGAAAGTTTTTTTGTTTTATAACTACCAGAAGAGTTGAGATATCTTAACATTTTACTTTACTTGTGTCTATTTTTAACCCAATACACTTCCGAATGCAACGTGTTATTTAGGCTGAATCTACTATGAGCTGACAATGCAGGTGGAGGGAAGGTGTCTGCTGGACCTGAAAGTTTTTTGTAAGGTAGTGGGTTAAAAATGTCTATGGAACTTAGAGTGTAGCTATTACTGTGATTTTCTGAATTTATACAAAAGGCAGCTGTGAAAATCCCTTATTTTGGCAATTTGAGAAAGAACATTCATTAAATATAGCATTTATTGAATCATGATGCATTCAGAAAAAAATGTACTATATATGAAAAAAGTGCTTTAAAAATTTTAGTTTGAGTGTCAGATAAAATTACTAAAGATTGAATCAAATCTAAAAATACRTATTTTGTAGTGAAAGCTAATATAATATTGAAGATAGAAATACCTAACTTTATCAGACCATAGTTTTGAACATAGTCCTTTCAATCTCTAGAACACCAAATAGTATTAATTAAATGTTTTAGAGGGTCTACTATCTGTAAATACTACATAAAAAGGAGGCATTATCCACAAAAACATCTGAGCAAATGAAATAAAATACTTTTTTATAGACAGAATAATCAGTGTATTTTCATCTTTTAAAATATTTCTAATATTTTCATTTGACTTCAGCAATTACAGTTAGGTAGTTTTTTAATTGTACATATTTAAAAAAATGAATGCTTATTGTGCAGAAGAAAGTGGGACAAGACAAATTTATAGAAAAGAGTGGTTGGCTTTTCTGTTGTGTTTTTTTTCCAATTTTTATAAGAGGATTGTATATATTGTATGTAATGTTCTACTGTGAATTTATGCACATTTATTTGCAATCTTTAACTGTTAATAAGCTCAACTGTCTACATTTGCTGTGGTTTTGAATAGTTGTATGACATGTTTTTGSCCTTGTTGTTGTACTTGTATGCTAATGTGCTTTTTAAATCTCCTTGGTATGATCTTGTGAAAAGAATTTCATAAATGTTTATGATGAGATCTAAACCTTAAAAAGATTGATGGTGCTACAGAAGTATTGGTGACACCTTGATAATTAAAAAGTATTTAGATTTTCATATAAATCCAGTCTGCAATCCTTATTTCCATTTAAATGCATAAATATGTTTTCCACCTTCTCCACAATCTTTAGAAGATAGTTGAACTTTTTGTAGTGTATTTTGTGATGAATATTTACTCACTGCTGCAAAAGAATTTTTCAAAATACTTCTTTTTGAAAAGAAGCTTTTTTGAAAAGCACATCCAATACCAGCCTCAAAATTCAAATTTTACTGAAGCACAAAACAGGAAATGTTTTTAATGACTGAATTTAAAACATTTTTCTTTCCCCAAAAGAAAAAAAATCAATAAATCAGGTTAATTGGTCTAATTTTCAACCCTGTTGAGTTGCATAGTCTCTCTCCTTCTTAGCTGGTACTCCTGAAAGCTTTTCACTACTGCATAGTGTGTAACTTCTGTCTCCCAATCCATTTTGCTTAATTGCTTCTGGCATGTTTTCAGTAATGTAAAGTCTGAATAAAATTTCTGGGACAAGGAAACTAATGTAACAGATGAGGAAACTTTATGTATTCTTGACCCACTATTGTTTTGGATGGTTCTTTGGCTCAGCTAGTCCTTTCTTGGCTACGGGTAGGTTGTACCATTTCAAACTTTGGTGTTTCAAATACCATTTAAAAAATAACTAATGTAATAACCCAAATATTGTGACATTTTTGATTAATTTAAATCACTTGCCTGAGTCTCCTGCTTTTGCTCATCGTTCTGTGACTTCCAGCTAGTCTGGTCTCATTAACAGCCTGTTGTGCATAGGAGAAACGTCACCTTGCAGTAGGGAGCCCAGCCCAAACCAGTATCTTGTGGATCATCTACCCACCCACAAGAACATCCATGTCAAGAGCCACCATCACCTGCCCCCGTGCTCAACTCCTTAGCCTAGGGGCACAAGTACATCTTGATGTAGCACAGTTAGTTTATAATCTCACCTTTTTATTTCATTATTTATTCTTCTATATCAGATTTGTTTGATCTTAGGCCAGGAAATTTCATGCCTTCACCTCAGTTAACAAGTACCTGTCCATTAATTTACAATATAAATCAGTCTACAAAGTAATGAATTCCTGCCCTGGCAATTTGGTAGTATTTAAGAATTGTAGGTTTAAATAAAATTAATTAAGCTTAAAAGTAAAAAGGATTTTTGTCATATAAGCAGCTACTAAAAAGAGTAAGTGCACTAATATTATTAAATTGAAAAAATCTATTTATTCAGTACTAACTCAGCTGCTTTACTACGCACTTCACTCCCCAACTTCCCAAAGATTTTCCTTATTCCTTTTATCTGTATTTACTTTCTAAGACTGCAAAATAGTGAGATGGTTGACTCTTCTTGAATTTACTGTTCTGGAATCAGTTTACTGTTTACATTGGTCTACTAGTAGAAATTCTGATCCAGTTTTCATTGAAGCCATTTGCTCTTTGCAGCAGTTAGAGGGTGATGTTCTGTCTGCAGGTTCCCTGCATTCCAACTGTGGCATCATGTGTAGTATTTTAAAGATATTAGACTCACCTTGAGTCATTGATCTTGGAATACATTAGACAGAACTTAAAACAGAAAATATCCCAGTAGTCCTAACTAGTTAGCATTACTAACTAAGTGACAATAAACTTGCTGAAGGAGGAAAAAGCAGTTGACTTCTGAGTTAAGTCATTGTGAATCAGCTCCTGGGCTTTTTGATACCAAATCCATTTTGCATTACTGCTGATGTTGTTTTAGGAAGTAGTGCTTAAAATGACATACACTGTGATTAGTCTTCCTTTTTTGAGAAAAACTTTGTCTGAAAACTGCTTTCAAATGTGCTGGAAGTTTATATTCCTATTAAACTATCACCCAGTTCTGCATGATTTGAATCTCCTTTCTTCATAATTTGTATTTGTAGAATCCTTTTAACGTGGAATCTGAATGTGCACCAAGGAGCACTTCAGCAGGAGAGGAAAAAATGTTTATCTGGGCACCTTCTCAGCCTGTTCATCTGCATTGGGCACACTTCCATGCTTCTTGGGTACCCAAATTTGCTCTCTGCAATCATAGAACTGTAGATGAATTTAGATTTTAAAGGAGCTCTGGAGATTTTGTCCAAACTCCAGCTCGAAAAGGGCCAACTATGCAAGTTAGAGCCATTTGCTCAGGCTTAGATCCTGTAGAATTTTGAATATCCATGAGAACAGAGAGTCCATTTTTTCTGCCCCTGCTCAGTGTTTAACAAATTTCACTGTAACAGAAAATTTCCTCATATTGAATTGAGGTATTCTATTTTTTTCTTGCCCATTGCCCTATGCCTCTTGGTGCACACCTCCTAGAATGGTCCAGCTTTGTTTTCTTATGGCCTTCCATCAAGTAGCTGAAGGTGGTATTAAGTCTTTTCTGCTTAAGACTAACCAAACTGAGCTCTGAACAGAGGAGTGTGAAATGGTGCTACTGAAATAATAATTCTGAATTAAGAGAGGGGATGGAGCAGTGGGGAGCATGCTAGCAAAGCACCCTGGAAACTGCCTAATTCCCTCACAAGCTGTTCAGTTTGAAGGAAACTAAATAAGATCTCAGACCTCTTCGCTGAATGTAATAGTATAAATTAATTGAATTCAGTGACTACGACAGTGTTAATTAATAGTATTAATTGAATATAGTAGTATTACAGTGATTAGCACAAAGGAAACCTCCACCTATTTTAATGACAGTCAACTAAAACATTCACTCCTTTGAGTGACAGTGCAGAGGATAGAGGCAATTGCTGTCCGGTTCAATATATTGGACATGCAGTGGAGCACAGGCTGTCACTGGTGCCTCTGCTTCTTTCAGAAACTCAGGCTGTGTTTTTAGCAAGTTTTTCTTTCAGCTGTGAGACCGGGAGGGAGACAGGAAGCCCAAATTACCTTTTGTCTTAAGGACATAAGTGCCTCTGACTGCAGAAATTTTATTATGAAGGTCTCACTTGAGAGCRTGGGGTTTTTTGTTTTGTTTTGTTTCATACAACTGTTAAGCAGAGTTCAACTATACCATTTCAGCAGAAAGAAGGAGTGGGAGACCACTTGCAAGTAATCTGTCCACACAAAAACTTGTCACTGCTGCAGAAACTGCTCTCAAATGTCGCTCATTTCCCAAGAAGACAGTTTTGCCTTCCTTTCCAAGGTTAGAATTAAGTTGAGATGTTCTTACTGGCTCAGCAAAGTCTAAAGCAGAGGCCAGGATTACCAGTGGTGCAGAACATGTTAATTGTGTAGTAGTCCATGGTGTGGACCACTGCCTGTCAGAGATGGGAAACAAAATCACTCTACGCATTTCAAATAGGAGACTGTGCTCTCAAAAGTGGACTTTTGTTCTGCTGTTATATCATTTTTCACCGTGACTATCCGAGATGGTGCTTTCTATCCAGAGATGCTCTCCATCTCTGAAAAAAAAAAGAGATAAGAAAATAAAATATTGAAGAATGGGATAGGTTTGCTTGTTGTCTTTACAGACAACTAAAACCAAGTGATTCCAACTTGAAGTTCATCCAGCTTGCCTGGTATCAAGTAGAAATCAGCTAACTTCCTGTTTTCTGAGATTTGCACAAAAATAATGTTGTTTTATCGCATTAACTTCTTGGGTGTATCCTGTGTGAAGTTGTTTAGGCTCCGATGAGCATAGCTGCATAAGAGTACATGTTAGTATCATTAGAAATGGAGGGAAATAGAATAAAATCTGCAGTATCAGAGGTTAATAGCTCTTTTTTCTATTTGTGACTTTAAAACCGTCATTGTTTATTCAACCTTTATTTCTATGCATGAAGACTTTGAAATATAAATGGCATGTCCTCAGTATTAGCTGAGTGACAGTTTACATTAAACTTACAGTTTTAGTGTAGCATTTCTCTGAGACTGAATGTTGAACATGGCAAATGGAAATATGTTTAAAATTTTTGCAGGTATGAATGTGCTGGTTTTCTCCTCCCTCTTGCACCTTCTCAAACATCAAGATCTTATGCCATTATATTCTGTAGGGAGAACCTTGCAGTTCATCCATCTGGATACTGTGATTCCTGCTTGCTTCTGAGTTCTAGCTCTTCTATTTAGGGGTTGGAACTCTGCTGCATATAGTGCCATCTCGGCTTAGCAAATGGGAATAAAAGAGATTTAGATAACATGCACATAGTTATAGTTAAAATATTTTTTAGCCCACTGTGATGGTTAATATGAAATTCTGAGTTAGTGCATGTGAGCTGTGCAGTTTCTCAGGAGACTTTGGAGTTGGGGTCTGTTTTCAGAAATTGTGGAATTCCAGAAATGTGTCTGCCAAARTCTGTGCTTGGGGATATTTCCTTTCTCAGGGTGTGGTATGTTCATAAGCTTATAACATGAGGAATAACATAAGCCAGTAACATAAGGAATAATGTAAGCCTAAGGCCATTTTTTACAGGTCTGAAGTGTATTTAGGCTTTCTGTTTCTTCTGGACTTCTTTTCAGCTCACCCACTGGGTGATTCAGGACGATTATTGTTGCCCTCATCCAAATTCAGGAGACTGGTTTTCAGAATATCAAGGCATGTTACTCCTTTTTAGCTCAGTTCCATTTACTTTGGTTGTGTTACTGATTTGAAATGCCCTTTTAATATATTTCCATTTGCACAGTGCACAGAGCAAAGTTATKTGTACCTGAAACATTTGTAGTAGTTTGTCATCTTCTCATGGTAATAAGCCCTCCCTCTGGATTGCCCCCATGAATAGGTAGTTTGATCTCTAATGTAAAAAGGCTGTTACCTTATGAAATCTAAATGAAATAAATGGCATATGTTTGTTGTTAACAATGTGCAGTATTTTAGTTCTTGGTGGCTTTGGTTTGAGCAGGAAAAGGAATGAAATGGACAATACATGTATTGCTGTGAAATGTGAGAGCTTGGGGAGATTGTGCAGTGGTTGAATGCACTGATTTTTCATCTGAACTGACCTTATTTTCGGGCTCTAGTTAAGGGCTCAAACAGAATCAGCTTGACTGCTCTTCTGTTTCTTCAGGTGCTTCTGTAGTTCACAAAAGCAAATATGCATTTTTAAAGAATCTAGCATGCTGAGGAATATCTGTTTTAAGACACAACTTTAGTAGCACCTCATAGTTGAACCACAAAAGCAGAAGGGTTGGAAAGCTTGACTGACCCTATACATCATGCTTTGTTCAGACTACTGTTAATCTGTCACTTTGCTGAGCATCCACTTCATGCAACATATAATCACATAAATGTATCTGTTTCTTGAGATCTCAATCCCTTCCTTTCACAAAAATGTGCTGGTTTTTGGGTATTTCTAGGAGAAAGATTAGCCTTCTTTTTTTTTTTTTTTTTTTTTTTTGGAAGGAATCAAGGGTCTTGTTAAAAAGACTGTGGTGATAAGAACAGCATTCTCCTCTAACGTGATACTTACCTTTTTGAGTCTTGTCTTTCACAAATATGTTTAAAAGTGAATACATTATCATGCTGGTATTGCTCACAGCCAAGAGGAAGATCCATGTACTATTTCATAACGCAAACTTTTATTGATTTACTGATTATATTATCCAAATTGATCACAAAAAAAAAATCTTAATGCACTCTTCCCACAGAAACTAAAGCAGAAGAATCAGCAGCTGAAGCAGATCATGGATCAGTTACGGAATCTCATTTGGGACATAAATGCCATGTTGGCAATGCGGAAYTGAACGAGGAAACAACTTAGAATCAAACATCGTAAATAGAAGAGATTCTGTTTTGTTTTGTTTTTCAGATATWTTTGATTTCTTTCTAAGGATTAACATGTTTTTCCACAATCATGTTGCAGTAATATTTGAGAAGTTTTCAATATTAAAATGTTGAGACTTTCCTAATAATTTCAACAGTGTTGTCTTTCTTTCATAAAAGATTAACCCTGCGAATTAATCCTATTGTATCTTAGAGATTCTGTTAGGCTGAGTGTAACAAATTTTGTAACATACAATAATAATTTGATTTGCTATGTATTTTTATATTTATAAATGGAGTATTCTTGTTTTTGTATAACACTCTTTAACACTTAAAGATGTTTGCATGACATTGTGCAGTGCAGACTGCTCCCATATGTAGAAGAAATGTCAATACACAAAGGTTGTTTCAATAAGCTGCAGGATTGATATAATAAATGATTAGAGATTATGATTCGAAATGGACCCATTATGGGAATCTGTAGACTTCTACTCCATGTTTGGTCATCTTGTCACTGTGTATGTGTGGAATTAGATTGGACCAAAACAGAAGAAGTCACATAGAATTACACCTAACATAATTAAGTCATTTTAAGTGTAGGCTTCTGATCTTAGCAACCTTAACTTCTTTTGTAATGGTGTTACCATTTTCTCGAGTATTGCTCTAACCATCGTTGGGCCTCATCCTTCTGTACCATTATGTGGGGTAGGAATTTTTTGTTCTTTCCATTGATCATTTTACTGTGATTACCAATGTATGTGAGGAGTTCATTATCTTGTGCTAGTCATGAAGATTAGCTTTTTGGTTTTTTTATGTGGCTAATTTTAATTTTCTCGAGTAGTCCTCACAAGTGTTATTACACTGAAAATATTAAAATAGGTCATGCATCTCTAATATTTGTCAAGTACTGTTATACTGTTAATATTTGTCAAGTTGAAAACTGCCCATCCCCGTGGCTTGCTTTTAGTGTATTGTCTTCAATGCCCATCCCATGCCCACTTAGACTCCTTAACAGTTTTGTGTGAAAGTCTTACTCAAACCTTCTGAAGAATCCAGCTGAATGGTATCCTACAGATGTCCTGTAGGATTTTAATACTCACTGAGTTCTAGTGGATTAGAGATACACGTTTTTTTAACAGATGATGCATTGTTTTGTTCTTGAGGTTTTTGTTTAYGATCTCAACTCATTTGTCCACTCTTTGAGGTAAATATCACTGGCATGTTGCAGTCACACCTTGTATATGATTTTCTTGAGGGAAGGTTAGGTCCATTTTTTTCTCATTTTTTCTCCCTCTTTGAGGATTTCAACAGATTAATGGATGCCYCACAGTCTTTACTCCCATTTTATAGATGGAAACAATGATAGTTCTTTCAGTGGCAAAGCAAGCAGCAGAAATGTTAAGTTCCCATTTAGGTTGGCCATTACAGCAGAGCTATTGATCAAGGAATAATGGTTCTTCAGCAGTGAGAGCTATAGGCTATTATACAATCTATGTAAGGACAAAACAAATTAAAACTTTGAAGAAGGCTTTTGAAAAGGAGATGACAGGTGTCCATAGAGATTTTTGTTTGTTTGTTTAAGATGCAGGAAAATCTGTATATTTTTTGACATGTAGTGGCAGCTTTCTAGTCAGTGGATATATAAGCACACATCCAGCTTAGAAGAAATACTTGAAATGGTACCGACATTTTAAATGTGAGTATAAAATTCTGAATACGTAGCATTTTGTTGTAGTTTGGAGCAATGGAAATGATTATAAAAAATACCGATTAGACTAGAAGTTGCTCCACTGTCTGTATATCTCTGTTTTCACTAAATTGCTTTAATTTTTGTTTCTTATTTTTATTATTTATCAAGTGTAAAAATAGCCTAAAGTGGGAATAAGAGTGCAAGTATTGCAAGTAGATGTCAAACTGATGCAATATTCAGCTTACTCTGTGCATCTGCTGGCAGTAGCCAAGGTTCATACTACAATTTTTCATCTGGGAGAAAGGAAAAAAAAAATCTTTAAACCTCTGCCAGAGTAGATAGCACACAAGCTAAATTGCAGAGGGTGGGAATTGACAGAATTGTAAATTATCACAGTAAATACTGTCAAAACAGGGGCTTTGCAAGGTGTTGGACCAAAACCATACACCTTGACTTACACAGATGAAAGTAAGGGTAGTGCACATAATTCACCTACCACYACTTCCATGAATAAAGATAGGTTTGGGTTAAGAACATGGCAATTTTAAAATAGCAGCTATGCCTCAAGTGTAGAATATTTTCTAAGGAATTGCTGTGGATGAGCACATGTTGAAATTTAATATTCTGCTGCTACTTAATGAAACTACATCAAATATAAGTATTTAGAAAATGCCAGCAAAGCAAGAGCAGCACAGTCTTTTAATGCTTTGTTTCTGTTTCATTGACTACTTCTGTATTTCAGATCAAGCAAAAGCTGTATAAACACCTGGACAGTGCTGGGAGCAAATACCAAACCTAGGATGCTTCCATTGCTGAAATACAAGAATATTTGAGGTRTTTGGTTTAATTGTTAGGACTCCGGTTTTGACCAGAGAGGAGCTGGTAGTGGAGCTCTGATGTTGGGTGTCTTCCAGCGTGCCTATGGGGTTACCTCAACTCAATCCATCCCTCCAGATAGAACTATGAATCTACCATCTTCAGGACAAAATTACAAATATGGAGTGTGCAGTGAGTGAATGGAGTTCAGTGTGACTACATAGAAGGTGCCTATTAGGCAGTTTGCAGAAGTACAAAATTTATATGTATATAAAGACAGGGAGCTGAGGAAATTTATGACATATTCAGAAAAAAAATGCAAAGAGCTTTTTTTTTTTACTTTTATTGTCTTTCATAGAGGCATCAAGGCCACATACAAAGAGCTCTAATAAACCATGACTAGCTTTACTGACACACGGGAAAACCCKTGTCCTGATTGTAGTGTTTCTTACTGCTAGAGAAATTGGAATCTATGTATAACTGCTCCTTGAATTCATCCCTGTAAATAAGGGGTACAGATGGAGCAGGGCAAGGATTCCGGTCTCATAGGAAGCAAGGCTTCATTGGTGAGCAAGATGTACAGGTGCAGGCACAAACCAGGCACATTCTGCAGCTGAAGTATRAAGGATGACTGGCAACTGCCATAGGAAACGGTAAGCTCCAGATGTAGATGTGAAGTTAAGAAAATCTCATTCATCAAAGGAAAAAGAAGGAGATGCAGTGACAACCAAGGACACYGAGTCAGCTGAAGTTTACAGAGGGGAGATTGGTTTAATTGATTCATACTAATGTGAAATGGGGAATAATAAAAGAATTGACAAATAAGCAGACAAAAGCATTTATGGAAGAAACTGAGTAATGTGCCGACCTTATTTAATAGTGGTGAATATGGTATAGTATTTACGACTTTAAAAGCAAAAGTTTTTTTTTCTGTTTCCAAGTCATTCTATTTTTACATATAAAAATAGCAAAGTGATTGAATGATATGTATTACAGATCATCTGATCATTAATGAAAATGATAAAAATTGTGTACCAGTTACATTTTTTTAAAGCTACTTTAATGGGTAGCTGGAATGTAAGACATAAAATCGTGTTGAAACTTTCGTCTTGTCTAGCTTTTAGGTAAGAATTTTAAGGATTTTTCTTACATTGCATAAGGGAGACATTTCTGGCATCTTTTACCACACTTTTACTACAGCACTTTTACAATAGCAGTACTAAACAACAACAACAGAGCTAAAAGTATTAAAAGTATTGATGTGAGTGTGGTCACAGACAGAATACATATTTGATTGCATTTGTCACTGGGCTAGATCCAGTATGTAGACGTATTTAAGGCAGATAAACAGAGGCACATTTCTTGTGTGCACATTTTTCAAGTGCGCTTAACTCAGGATCATCTCAACTTATATGCATTGGAGTTCAACTTAAAAGTTACCTAATAGAGCAAAGTTCTGTTTCTGCACATATCCCCTGTTCCTTGCTGCTCGGGTTGTATAAACTCTGTGCTTTTCCACCTAAATCCTGTCGGGAGCCCTCCTTGCAGGGTGCCCATCATGCTCTCATGTCCCCTTCTCAGATGACTGTTGCTGTCTACAAGGCTGTAGAGTCATGGTCTGGAATGGGTTTCCAAATGAGTGTCTGGAGGGATTTACTATATCCATATTCATGATAAAATCCTTCCCTAGATCTACATATGTTTTCTCATGAAATCTTACTTGAAAAATAAATTCAGATTAGCCTAAAKGGGAAAAAAAAAGTTGTGTGAGTTGAAAGTTGTCTGAATAGCAATGACTAGCAATGCAGTTGTTTTTATAATCATAGCACATCGTTATAAGCATATCATTTTGTAAAACCTGTCTTAACAGGTATTTGCAGTCACAGAAATAGCCTTTTACCAGAATACACTTGTGAAATGGGAAGACTCTCAGAAACTGAGAGGAAAAGAGATATAGAAGAGCAACAATCAAAACTTAATGTGAACATAAATTGGCCCTAAAGTAGAGGCAGAAAAAGGAGATTTGGAAGAAAAAAATACATTTTAAATSTGCTTTGGAGACAAAATGCAGATGCAGTGTGTGGAGGGAAAAGCCATTACAGTTTAAGGGTGCACAGTCAAATATTGCAGAGAAGGGCATATACAGGTGAGATTTTGCAGTAATTCTGCATCAAAAATGCATTAGYTTTGGCATCATCGTGTTGCTAATGCCATAAAAGAAAAGATGCCAATGTACTACTATATGATTAAGTGTTAGAATGTCTTGGTAAAGCAAAAATGTAGATCAAATCTAGAAATTTTGGAGTAAATGCAAGGGGAAGATAATTAGAATGATTTCGGATGGCTATAGTGCAGAGTAGTGAAAGAAGTAAGTAAGGACTTCATTTATTTGACAACAGTGAGAAGGGTAAAACCTTGTAAAGTTAAAATATGAAACATCAATTTCTCTAGGAATTTAAAAGRTGTCCTTTAGGTTACTAGGAAATTTTAGAACCAAACAGCATAAAAACAGTAGAAAAATGCATTGAGAAAACAAGAACAAAAAATACCATCTTGCA